TGGCTACTCATTAAGGTTACCGGGCTGCGAGTCCGCTACAAAGTGTTGATTGACAGGATACTCAGGTCATGTACAGGCATGTGAAATTAATAAGAACATCCCGTGGAAATGGACTGACTCTCTTTGAAAACCTGCATTTTTTTTTCATACACAGTAAGTGGGACTAAAAAACAAAACAGCTGAAAGAACATTTTGCAGAGTATCTGGTTATCTGGCAACAGATCAGCAACATTACTGCAAATAAAAAGAGCATCTTAGAGAGGCAGAGTTTCTCAGAAGTAAAAAATTGGCAGAGGTTCACCAATCTGCAAAAAAATCAAAAATCTGAATGATGTTCCTCAATGTAAAATTGCAAAGACTTTGACTATCTCAGCATCTACGGTGCCTGATGTCATCCAACGATTCAGAGAACCTGGAGAAATCTCCGTGCACAAGTGACAAGACCAAAAATCGATATGGATGCATGCGATATTCAGGTTGTAAAACGACACTGCATTAAAAACAGGTGTCATTCTATCATGGAAATCACTGCACAGGCTCAGGAACACTTCCAGAAATCACTGTCTGTGAATACAGTTCACTGTACTGTACACAAAAACAGGTACAGGCAATAGCTTGAAGAGTTCAAATACAGCTTTACTAAAGACTCCGACATTAGACTTGTTTTGTCCTAGAGCTCTTAGCGCTACATTTGACACCACATTCTCACATTTTCGAGGTCATTTTTTGTGTAATAACACTTGTATACACCCTTTTTCCCCCCAGAAGAACCCTTTAGTTTTCCTCCAAAACATAATCTGCATTGAGACACAGAACCACATCTGACTGCCAGAAAACATGTTCTTAATTAAGTGGTATCGGGGGGGTTGTTTTAGGAGATGTTTTATTTTACAAATATGGGATTTCCCCATAATTTACCAGAGATGTTGCTGAAAGAAATATGTAGGCTAATTTGATACCATTTGAGTAATGGCTTGTAAAGTACACAAGTGAAAGAAAGCCTTTGTCTGTGGAGATTTCAATGCATGATTTCCTTACGCTTGCGAAACAGATAAAGGAAAAAAGCTGGAACAGCATCATAAATCCTCGCTGATGGATGCTGGTTCTCATCTACTTGAGGTCATTGCAATGGTGCTCAGTTACAAGAAGACAACACTACAGAAAAATAAAGCAAAGCAAATGTTTTAAAAAATCACCAAAGTTCAGATGAGTGAAGTATCAAGTACTGTGCAAAAGTCTTGAGTTAGCCTCACTAACTCAAGACATGAAGCAATATTCGATCTACACATAACAAACTTAAAAAGAGGCTTTTGTTACTAGCAGACAGTTCCCAAAACATATCATTTGTTTGCATTTCTTTAGGTGATTCGATAAAAAATGTTAAACTTAAAGTGTGACAGGCATAAAACGGTATTTTCTTCCTCCACTTGTCTAGTTTTCTCTATTTTTAGGACACACTGCCCATAGATACGCCGAGTCTTCGACTATGTACAGAAAATGAACAGTATTTAAAAGTCGTGTTCTTAAGAAACAGGAAGAAAAAAATCAAAGACCTGACACGTGCATCTTCTGAGCCATCTGCTGTTGACAGAAATGATCTCAGTGGATGTTTGGCTCTGAAAAAGCTGTACTTAAATATTTCAGATTATCAAAAATGGACTTAAAATTAGTGATGGCAGATTTTATGACAATAAATAAATGTAATATTTTTTTCTTGAATCGTCGTCAATAAATGTGGAAGAGGTCTGGCGAGATGGGCAACATTGAATGTCTTCAGCTATCTCTGTCATGATTTGGAGATGCGGTGTTGCGGATCTTCTCAAAACGGACGGATTACATGTGCATAAAAGGTCATATTTTGATTCATTATACCACAACCGTGAGTACCATGATTGGCAATAACTTTCTTTTTCAGCATGACAATGATCCCAAACACTCTGCCACTGGCACCAAGTTTACAATGAGCTTTAAATGCTATTTGAGAGAACTGAAGACTGCTTTAAAAGTAATGACAAGAAAGCTTGGCTAACAGAATTTAAGCTGTATGGAAGAATAAAGGTGGTCATACCAAGCACTAACAGTAAAGCTTGTCACAGCTGTACTTCCAGTACATTTGCTTATATTTCAGTGTACACGTTGAACCTATTAATCACTTTAGTAACAAAATACAAAGAAATGAGGAGTGGCTTTAGACGTTTGTGCAGTACTGTATTTTAATATTCATTTATTATTTAAAAAAAAAATTGTCCATTACATGCTGACATTTTACAGTTTAACATCAGCGTACCTGCAATCCTCCGACTCCCTGGGTTACAAAGAGAATTAGAAATAACTAGTAGGCCAATTTTAAAGTCTTTCTAAAAAGTTGAATTAGCATTAAATTTAAAAAAGGTGATTGTTTTTTGTTTTGTTTTGGGGGGGTTTGGAAAACTATAGGTGCCCAAATAGAGTATTATTAAATGCATATAATGCACATATGTATGCATGTATGTATGATATGTTGGCCTACTTTAACTATTCACATGTGGTTATTTTAAAAAGGTTATGTTCTAACAGTTCTGCGCTGTGGTGTTTGCTCTCTGGTCCAATACAGTCATTGCTCTGGCCACTGTAGATTTTTAAAATATTGCCTCGCTAGGGGGCAGTAAAAACAACAAAAACAGTAAGGGCCTTGTTTTTCGTTTCAAAAGAACCACAATCTGTTTACATCGTGTTAAAAATGGTGCCCAAGCCTGTTCTTCACCCACAATCCAACATTCTGTACCCCCCAATTCTAACATCCACTGCCCGCTGACTGCGCATGAACAGATAAACAGGTATGTAGACGTTAATGACGTTGACTGACAAGCCTCTGACCAATAACATTGTCGAATTTGTCGCTCCTCTGTTGGAGCCAATCGCGGCTGTGAATCCACAAGCCTGCACCAAGTGCGGTTGAGTCGACGTTTTCGAAGGTACGTGCTGTCCACAAACGTCAATGGAAATCAATTGCACCGGATGTTTATAGATCAGCTCTTCAAATTAAAAGCTTTTGCCTCTACGCAGGGGTACATTTAACTACACCTAAAAGTATTTCATTTATGAATTGGTTTACGGTGTTATTATTTATTTTTAATGCGAAAACACAAAAAGGAAACCTGTTGCAAGACAAAAAATAATAATTTTACCTAAAAAGAAATATTTTTTAATACGAACTTCATACAACCTTCAACAAGGATATGTCCAAACACATTTGCTTTGGGTTTACATTGATAATGTCATTGTAATTTTAAACGAGTGATAAGTGACCCTTATAGACCACGTATACACCAGTAATTAAGTAAATTCCTTTTTTAAAAAGCATGGTGTTTCTGTTAAGCGACAGAATTTGTGTATAAATGCAAGTCATGGGTCGGGAGGGAGACTTTAAATAATAATCCCAAGTATAAGAACATAATGTTTTATCCGTTAAAATTAATAAACCATTTAAGTTTAACTCTTTATTGTCCTTGCACGGTCATACTTTGCACAACAGTACACCAAAATTGTATTGACCCACATCAGTGCTAAAGAAATACATGCAAAACACAATAGATAAATAAGTACCATATATACAGAATTAAATATATACAGTATGTGCAGAAAATGAAATATGCAATATGCTAATTGATTTAATAAATATTAATCATTTTATTTGATTATATAAAACTAATAAATGTTGTTGCCAGGTTTTCCAATTTACACCTCCTTGCAGCTTGCAGTGTTGCCCTATAGATGGTATAAAATATTACCTAATATACTGCGCATTCTTTCTTTACTTTGAAAAGTATGGCATGAAGTCGTCACGTCATTGCGAGGGGATTTGCAGAGCTGAGCGTGCAGTAATGTAGATCCAGGAAGCCGTTCCTGTCGCTTGTATCCTATCCTGTAACCTTATGGAGCTGGCTCTGTCTCGTCGCATCGTCTCCTCCGCCGTGGCCGGTGGAAATGTGGCCGCCCCTGGGAGAAACGCACCGTCCGAGCATCTGTCCGCCTTCTCCTAATTTCTTCTCTCTCACATCATCGCTAAAACTTTCAATATGAGGATCTTCTGGTCTTTGCTGAAAAACAGCAACCCCAAAATCGAGTATTACTCCAGATTTTCACCGTCCCCGCTCTCCATCAAGCAGTTTTTGGATTTCGGTGAGTAAAGGCATCGCCTGGCACCTTTAGAGGACTTTAATGACTTGTAGAGGGTGGAGGATTTGGTGGAAGGCCCTTTTGTGTGTTTTTGTCATCTCATCAGTCGCAGCTGTGGACCTGAAGAGTCACACGCAAGCCCCGGCTCGTTATTAATAGAAGGGAACATTAGACTTTCTTACGGTCAGGTGTGTTAAACGTAGAGATCGCCTGCAGTGAAGCAGCCACATATAAACAGAGGACGGTCCTCTGTCCTGTGCGGATTTGTTTACGTTGTAAACAAGTATTGACAGGCACCCTAACGCATGCAGGTATTCTCAGTCAGACTGGCACAGCAGCACGTATGCAGTGGAGGGGCCAGCAGCCCTGCTCCTGTTGCCAAGATGCTCAGGAAGCCTTTAGTCATTTTATTTATTTTCACTTGTGTCTTAGTGAGGTCGCTCTAGAGCATGAGTCATTGCAGATTGATGTTTTTTTTAAACGTATTTCTGGTTAATAACCCCCGGTTTCAGTTCCCCGTCTATTGCACCAAGACATGTAGAAATCACACCAGTCGCAATGTGTGCCACAAGACGACGGTTATTAATGGTGCAGAAGCACTCAAGGCTTTCCTTAATCCGCCTCTTGATTAAACGCTGGCATGTCTGTTGCGTAATTTGTTCTCGCAGCTGTGGATGTAGAATGCGTGACGGCAAGTGTGCCGCACTTGTTTGCTTTAAGGAGAACCCCTGCTTGGCACCAAGAGAGCCAAAACATATCGGTGTCTGTGTTTCACTCTGGAGCACGTTAGACGTCATCC